TATTCAGTGTGACACATAGTATAATAGTAAGTTGTATTATATTTTGTTGTATTGTATTGTACAGTAATACATTATCTCAGTATTATCACTGGAGGATATATTGTGTTGTACTCATATTAACTATATTTTGTGCAACACATTCTATTGTTGTCCTTCAGTATTTATAGTCTTTTGTTTTTTGTTATACTGTACCTCCAGTACTTGTACATGTATAATACTAAACACAACCACTAACCTCACCTCATTAACATCAAAGTATTAAATATTAGGATTACTTTTTACATGTCACACCCATTATTCATATTTATGCTGACTGATATTATTAGTATTCGTTTATGTATCTAGAACTGGGAGATACTGAAACCAGGAGCAATACCTAATGAGGGACTGTGGCCTATGGAGAGATGTAATCATGCTAGTGCTATTATCAATGGTGACTCTATCTCACCTACACTAGTAGTGATTGGTGGACTGGATAAGAAGAGTCAACTATTTAATGAATGTTTGTTATTTGATAGTATCACTACTGGTCAGTACAGTTGTAGGAAGGTATGTGTGTGTATGGTACTGTAATGATGTGTGTGTGTGTGTATAGTTAGGTCAGTTGAGAGTATGACACTATAGTAGGGCCACACTGACTTTGCCATTTTAAATTTTGAATAACTTTCTTATTTTATGTGCTATAAACGGCAGTGTTTCACTGTTGTGCAATGCTTGGATTTTGGGTTCCTTTGACATAAGGTAATAGTAGAGTGAAGCTTGTCAAAGTGGAAGAAAAAATCAAAGCACATGGCCATTTAACAAGTACTTACGCCATTACTACCACCTACGCTTTGTGAACACATGGGCAGTAAACTGACTGAAAGAAAAATGGAGGCGATTCAACAGCAGAGGGAACGGGAAGGTAATAAGACGAGAAGGACAAGGAATATGACTGAAATCACAGGCGAAGACAATTAGAGGCAACGTTTAAGAGGACAGCATATGCTACAAGTAAGTCATCTTGTTTTAAGACAATGAAACTGTTCAAACACTGCCCGTTCAGCCACGCAGATGGTTTTCTCTTCTTTGAGGACCACTGTTTGAGTTTATTTGTTACTCATGTCAGTAGTGAATCCAGTGATGAACCTGATTAGATAGCGATCCCACCAGTCAGATAGATGGCACCCAAAACTTGGCCTTTCTTTATGATATTGTGGCTGCAACTGACAAGGCCATTTGACTATTTTTTATTTCTTATTTTTATATACTTTGGTTTTAATAATAATTACAAATGTACTGTACTTTTAATTATATTCTTAGTGGTAAACATTAAAATAAACAAATACTTAACAAACACTTATTCATAATTGGCAGCTACTTAAATGATGACCTATGAAGGTTGAATTTATAATGAGTGGAAAAGTCAGTGTGGCCCTAGTATAGCACTGATGTATATTGATGATAGATTAGTAATTGTTAGTGTGTTCAGTAGATAACACTATCACTGATGAAATATT